GACCCCTCAAAAAAAAAAAAAAATTAAATTAGGGGTGGAGGATTTTGCTGTAACTGGAAGATTTTCCTTTGAGCGCATGTTGGGCCCTCCCCGGTTTCATGCGACATACATGGCCGGAGGGGCGCCACCGATTTTGTCGTGAAAATTTATTTTAAAAGCAAATTGGGCCCTCCCCCGAAACGGGATCCTGGTTTCGGGACAAGGAGAACTATAACAGTAGCAGAATTTAATAATTTTTTTCATTTTCATTATATTTTGAGTTGGTTAATTAGTCGACTTGCAGTGTACCGACAGGGCTCAAAAACCGAGTCGATCATTACCGAAAAATACTTTTATGAAAGTACGGGAAGCGGAGAGTGCGTTGGTGGCATCGATTTATGATTTTGAGGTCCCGCCATTTATTTTGGGTAGCCCGAATTTGAGAGAAAAATGGTAGGGCGGTGATTTTATTGTCATTTTCATGTGTAGACTTCGGGTAACCGTCGTCCCTCGTTAGGCGTGCTGAAAATTAGCTGGAGTACTTTCTTGAAAGCACGAGAACAGTACAAGCTCGTTCGAGGCTTCGTTTTCTCAATTTTTTCAGCTTTCCGTCTATTCGAAAGGAGGTATAATTCTTGATTATTATTATAATTGAGTCTGAGATTTTTATTAGTATAAATTCTAGTATTTTTCGAGTTAAAACAATTCAGTTTAAGTATACCAGCTTAATTTCGGACTTAGTTTGATTTTTAAAAAAATCTCTAGAGTATTCCTTTATATCATGCGAAAATTTTTGAGAGCGTCCACAAAAACCCTTTGAGCGCCCTTCCGATGCCGGAGTGAGGGTGGTGCGCCGCGGGATGGCCGGAGTGGGGGTGGTGCGCCGCGGTAAATTGGGCCCTCCCCGGGATGACCGGCTGGTTTCGCCACTGATCATAGTTTTGTTTAAGCTAGAATTGTAATGTTAGTTCATTTATAGGCTATGTTCGGTAAAAACTAGCTGATAAGCTAGTTTATAGTTTATCAATAATTTTTGAGCTTATAATTTATAGATGAAAAACTAGTTTATATGATAAAATGTTTTGTAAATAGCAAATGATAATAAAAGATAAATCATATTTTTTTGAAAGATTTAGTAGATTAAGTCCAAATTTAACTGCAAATGATAAGGAAAAATGGCAAGGGTCGACTCGGCCCGGGCCGGCCCGGCTGTATGCGGTAAAACCGGGCCGGGTACAAGAAAGTTATCTTTTCGATAACTTTGTGTACAAGAAAAATGACTTGATATCTCTTAAAACATAACTTTGCGAAGAAGAAAATTGAATGAGCAATTAAAGCGGACAAAATTTATTTCTTAACCATAATGAAGAATCAATTAAAAAAAAAAAAAA